CTATCATTCATCTGCAGTCCTGCTTAGCCATAGTAGTCTGACATCTCTGAAGTGCAAAAACATATAAGCATGCTTCTGCCTACCTCTGGTTTTCAGCACCACAAATTCTGTGTCTAACACCTGTTTTCAATCTTCTGCTCCATTTCTCAAATCTTATTATATCTCTGCCTTTTCACACTTTGTAGTCTCTCTCTAATATTTGTTTGCAAAACACTAACTCATTTGTATTTCTATAATTACTGTGATTTTTTGTCTTCTCATCTGTAGCGGTTCTTCCCTTCTGGCGGCATCTCTGTAACTCCTGTTCTTCTACACGGTGCCACATGAAAGATCATCTCTTCGTTAAGGCATGATCAGGCAGGTTTCCCTAGTAGTCAGAATAGTATTATGTTTCTAGAGCCAGAACATGATTTGGCTCATGAGATAACTGATCTCCAGATCACTGACTTAATGAGCTTTATTAGTTCTCTGTTTTAAATAAGAACATTTTACCCACCATATTCTTTCTTTACTGATTCCCAATTTGATAACCTTGTGTTTCAAAACATGACAAAAGGCATCTCTTTTTTTTTTTTTTTGAGTGAGAGAGAGAGAGAGAGAGAGAGAGAGAGAGAGAATTTTTAATATTTATTTTTTAATTTTCGGTGAACACAACATCTTTTATTTTTATGTGGTGCTGAGAATTGAACCCAGTGCCCCGTGCATGCCAGGCAAGCGCACTACCGCTTGAGCCACATCCCCAGCCCTGACAAAAGGCATCTTGTAGGAGTTTGTTTATCCATATGTGTGCCCTTGTGGTAGTGAGTTCTCATAACTCTCAGATAAAGAAAAGAAATTTTAAAAATTTTCAAACTATTCATAAAACATTGAGGAGAAAGTGTCTTCTACAAGCTCCTGTACTACAATATTCCTTTGCAGGTGTGGATGAAAGTACATCACACTAATTTTCAGCATCTTGTATGCATTCTGTCAAATCTTTCCCTTTTTTCCACTAATGATCATATGCCCCTTCTAGATAATTCCCTTAAATAGAATTAGTTCCAAAAGGAATTGCAGATCAGGGCACATTTCAAGGAACCAAATAACCTGATGGCACAAACGGCATTCGGTGCATTTATGGGGCAGGCATGGGATACCCATGGTATGAATGCTGATTCCTAGACAAAGCACCAAGGTTGGCTCTTCTGCTCTGGTACTTACATTCCTTTGACCTGCAAATACAAGATCTAATCTTCAGTTATGATGTATTCTAAAATGCACATTCTCAGAGGGCAGGACTTTGAGCCTGAGTGTTTTGTGTGAGTGCCTTACATTTTTGCTTACCATGGTAGTTATTAAATAGGTCTCAWGCAGGGAATGCAAAGAAATGGTTTCTACTGAAAGCAAAAGGATATCTTTCAAATGCTCAGAACCTGGAGGAAAGTGCTGTCTCCCCAGCTGCATCCATTTGGGACTCTCAGCACCCATATAGACTGCACAAGAATCTCAGAGAAGAACCATTGTTTGCAAGTTTCATTTTTGCCTTACCATGGGAATCAAGACAGACCCTGCCCAGAGTCCAGACACATACAGATGGTGGCTGTCGGGAGGTGACTCACACTACAGATTACAGCACTTAACTAAGCAAAGAGGATTACATTTTTAGACAATAGTCAGGAAGCTGTTTCTTTGTCAACTGATTATAAATTTAAAGGAACCACTTATTATTTTAGCAATCTTATTGATAAGGAAGAAAGGTGGAGTAAATTTTTTTTTGGTCAATTTAACCCAATGCTCAGAGACCGGTACTGAGTCATAGTTCCCATAGAATTTAAAGGAACAAAATCTCAAAAAACAGAAGTACTTTTRCCAACCCTTCTTCACTGACTGTACAACTGCCCTTCATTTGCAAACCAACTGATTTTTACTCTCCCAGGGCTTTATCATGAAGATTCCTTTTGTTTCTGTATTTTAATCCCAAATACCCACTGATTTTATTTGCTAGATCAAAAGAGAGAGTGAGAATGAGATCTCAAAATGGGCTTAAAAGGGGGGCATTTGAGAGATCAGAGCTGAATACAAATCTGGAATGAAGTTATTTAGTGAAATGCTAACGCGGTCATTCATTGGAACTGGCACATCCTATTAGAAGCTATCTTTAATGCAGCATTGCCAGGCATTGCCATAAATATCACAGGCTAGAAATTTCTGTGTGCGTAGAATAAAGATTTTTTTCCTGCTAGGATGCAGCAATACCTCCATCATTGCCACACAATGTTTATTAAGGGTCTCCCAATACACATGCCACAGTCTCTTTACCATAAGCACAATAGGTTTCTGAGCAGAAAGTTTAAAACACCCTGAAAATCCAAACCGTGAGACAAATGGCACATCATGGGTTAATTTTTTCCACAGGGTGCGTCTCCTGGTGGAGGAGGGCTATGAAGATCGAATTCTGATGGCACATGACATACACACGAAGCATCGACTCATGAAGTATGGAGGTCACGGCTATTCTCATATACTCACCAACATCGTTCCTAAAATGTTACTTAGAGGTATAACTCAGCGTGCACTTGATAAGATACTAATAGAAAACCCTAAGCAATGGCTAACTTTCAAATAGGATGTTATGTGTGAGTTTACACCTTGAGTATAACCCTTGCAGGTAACATTCAGTGATTTCAAACCTACTGTGAGATATTAGCCAGAGCTACATAGAACTAATGACAGATCATTTCCTTCTTATGAGAAAGAGAAGTTTGCCTTCTCTGAAACTGGCCAACTATTAGATTTGCACCTCTGGGGAGTTACTGAACCTAATTGAGCCCTTTCATTTTGCTTTAACAAAATAAATACAGGATTATGTATTTCCAAACAATGATTTAAAGCCTGTATCCCTTAAGTGGGGTTTTTAGGTTTTTTCCTAATCTATCAACTGCACTACTTGAGAAAATTTAAAGTGTTTCTGGTTAAATTGCCCCCTTCTGGAGCAATCTGATGTTTCTTGTAATATTGATGATCCTACTAATTATCCTGCTGTTCTTTAATTAATGCTTAATGAATAATATGGCAATTTAAAATAGCTTTTGCAGTAAGGGAAATTAAAGTTTGAGACTTTTTATCAAAGACTACTGTAATATAATTACCAAATCACAACAATAAAAATATTTTGGAAGATTATTTATATACCATCTACCTRCATACATATACCCATAATAAATAAGTTTTGATGCCTTTTGCTTTCTTGTATCCATTTTTTTTTCTATAAATTTTGTTGTGTTTTGCAAGGTTTGTATAAAAACACATAACAGTGAATTATAAAATTCAATCATTAAAGTCAAAATATATTACATAATATAGTTTAATGAATCATTACATTTATAATAACAAAGGCCACAATTTAATTAATTTATAAGATATAATGCAAAAAAAAAAGGTCCCTTTATTTCCTTTACTTTTTTTGTTTGTCCTCGGGCCTAAACAGAGAAAACAATGCTTATTTATCTGAAGAAAAGGTCAAATCTGTTGGAAATGACAGTCTGATTCTAAAGCCTACCTCTTTAAAAGGTATCCAGCCCTGATATTTTGTATAAATAAACCCTTTTTTAAAACTGTGAGTTAAAACTTTTAATTGATATTCACTGTTGTTCATAAATTAATCATTTGATTGAATCCTCACTATGCCATTTGGTACCTAGAACATGTCTCCAAACTTTTACTGCCAATTTCTCTTTGATAAATACATATTGTTAAATAGAAATAAAAACTATTAATTCATTTGTGAGCTATCTTACATATCAGAAAGGCCAAATAGAATTCGTCATTATTCTTGATGAAAGGGCTAAGTGTTTTTAATCGTATAAATCACGATGGTTACTCAGACCAAGGCATTTAAACAAAGCAAGCATCACCTTCAGAAGGGAACACCATGAATAACTCTTGGAAAGTCGAAGTTTGTTAAATTAAAGATATTTCAGCTGATCAAAGATGATCAAGCTCTTCGTGTATTGGAACAGAAAGTACCAAAAAGGAATGAGCCAGGATAACAAACCAAATCCTTTAAATGAAAAATGCAAATGTCCTTCATCAGTAAAACAAGCAGATTTTTAAATCTCTGATTTTGAAATCTACTTGTCAAAGTCTTCAAAGGCAATGAAAAAGGAAGCGATTTCTCATATAGTTAAGACAAATCAACATGCATTTTAATTTTTTCCTTAAAGAGATGGCTTTGGGTGGTGGTGTGTTTTAACTAGAGAGAAAGGGTTTGCACTACTCTAAAAATCTGCTTGACCGTCAGCCTCAATTCAACTAAGAAAAAAGAAAACAACTGATAACTCAAATGCAAATTATTCATAAACATCTGTGAAGGAGAGCCACTTTATTTCTGCAGTCCTGATATTAATAGTCTGCCAGATAATGCAGTTAAAGTATTGATTGGCATATGGTAATAAAGCAACCATAGGCTTAACTTACATACATGTGAAGATAGGGCATTTTAACCTAGTTAAGATTTCATTTTCTGTATAACTCTTAAAGAGAAGTTGTTTTAATTATTTTGATAACTCCATATATTTTCATCATCTAAAATATATTTCAATCCAAAATAAGTCAAATAATTTATGCATGTTTCTGTGTGTATATATACACATATACTTTTTTAAATTAAAATTTTGAGGCTGTACAGCCACTGTGCCTCATGGACTGAAGCCATATATATATAATATTTTATCTAACATATATGTATATGTATATAAATGTGTGTGGCAGGTATTTATATAAAATATATACACTTTGTCATCATATTGGTTAGATGTGAAATTGTTAATTTTGAAATAACCTCAGGCCACAGATTTGTAGTAACTGTTTGAAGGCCTTACCTAGTGTCCCCTTGGTGACGCATGCAGAAGCTCAAATTAAACCTTTGTGCATTGGGTTATGAATAACCTTTTGTTCCAAAAAAGGCAAAAGCCTCAGTCTGATTTAAAACCAAAGAATAAATTTCTCTGACTTTCCAAGTAAATCTAAGTGTATTCTATTGACAAAATGGACACACAGGGGATTTTCTAAATACCATACATAATTACACATTTTCACACTTAGAGGGTAATCCTATGGTACAATTTCAATATCTATTTTTAAAGACTATCACTAGAAAAGGAAAAAAAGAAAATTCATAATAAAAGGAAAATGTGAAAATGATCATAGGCTTGGGAATTCCCACAAATCCAGAAAATTCCAGGTTAAGGCTTGAAGTTGAATCTTTCCCAGGTCTAGCTCTAAAGTTAACAAGAGTACAAGGCAAACAATTTCTTTGGGGACAAGCAGCATTACTTCAATTAGACCTTCTCCTGCAGGGTAAAATGATTCTTCCATACACTATGAATGGACTCCAGTATCATAATAAGCAGGAAAACTCACAAGAACCAAAGCTGACATATGGATAAGAGCAGCAAGATCACAGTACACCAAAGTATCATATATATTGAAGAAATAATTCAGTGTCTTAGATTTTTCTATAAAAATTTGTGATCTATAATAGGACTTCATTCACATGGACACTAACGATAGGAGTATTTGCTTTGGCGGTAGTGGATCACACATCTGCTTATCTTGCTTTAAATACTTTTTTACATAATGTTTCTGAGTGATACAGATGTGAGTCAGGTAGCATTTGATTTCCCCACATTTACACAACCGAGGTGCCCTGCAATTGGCATCCCCTGGGATCCTTGATTCACTGACGGTAGCCATTCAAATCCAGTGTTCAAACTCAGAATAATAAGCTTAGTTTCTGCATTATCAGTCAGCATAAATAATAAATCCAGAAAATGTGCTGTATTTGTTGTTGTTTCCTCCATGGGCTTTCCCACCATCTAATTTGATATAGACTTCATCTCCCGGCTCCAGATGCAGAACCACACTGTTACTGGCATAGTCGTAATTCTGATCAGCATCTTGGGCAATGGCACTAGCACGCACCTATATGAAATAGACAAGAATTAGAGTTTGTAAAAGAGAATTCTCAAGTTTTCGTCTTTTGCCATTCACACAGCATCCTAAGCAGACTTGCTACTGGAGCGCAGACAGTGTGGGGACATCTACATGGCCTCTGAACTTTGCAAGTCCCTCTCTGTAACAGTTGCAACTATGTTATTGCAAAGGAAGGGAGAAAATGGTGCTTCACTGAGGGCTATTCCAGCAATCTTTTCTATCATTGTAAACAAAACATACCAATCTAATCTCTTCCTACATCACTACTTTTTCTAACTCCTTGAATCCCTATGCCCAATCATCTTTTGAAATGGAAGTAATAGTATTGTTTTGCATTTTAATATAAACCAAATAGCAATATTCTAACCAACTGAGTATAAGTACCGAAGTTCAAGTTTAACTTCGTTTGCTCATCACAATTGTTAGAAAATTGAGATCCACAGTAGGTAAAGACCCAGAGAAGTACCATTCTGCTACTATATAAAAAGAAAAAAGAAAGCCCTTTGCTTTAGGACTTTCAAAATCTAACACATTTTAAAACCCCTTTTACCAGGCTGCTTCTAAAGCTCAACTCATTTAAACATCTTTAGTTATACCACCCACGTTTTCAGAGTTCTTTTTTTTCTATTTGTGCTTTTTTGTCAATTATATGTGCATTTAAATCAACAATTTAATTGCAACATATCTAAAAGTTATAGAAGGAACTAAATCACCATGATTTGAGCTCTCTCATATTTCTAGAATTTTTGAATGCTCATTTAATATCCTTTTATATTTTAAGGTGCTTTTGCTTTGAGGACATAGGTTGCTTATAATCTGCTCATGTTGAGCCTGTGGTCTCATTAGTGAGCTGATAAACATTTGCAAACAGTCAAATTGCCTATCTTATCATGTAATATGGACATTCTGTCACATCCTCAACTCAAATTAGGCTTCATATTCATTTAGACATATTTTGATTCTGCCTTGGAAACTCTTTGAATAGGCAGACTTGGATTTGATTTATTTCAGTAACACATCTTCTACTTTGTGGCTTGTTTCTATTCCACCATAAGGATATTTCCCTGAATAACATAGCAAGTGATTTAGTGGTTTTGTAAACCTGCACTATGTAATAATGCATGACTTGGGGTACAATATGCTGGATTTTATCACTTGGCAAAATGAGAGAAATGAGACATAAGTCAAGAATTGCCAYGCATTTCTTTCAAAATTTAAATGATAGGTTCTCAAATTAAAATTYCATGTGATATATCCTCACATTAATGCTGAAATGTGAAAAAAGGAGAAGGATCTTTGACACTGCTGAACTTGTGAAGTAATATGAGCAGTATTTTAAAAATTTCTTTTTGGATATCACATAGCAAAAGGAGTAAAGGGCTTAAAGGATTTAGAACTGCTTAACAGTGTGCTAACTGGCACTAATATGATGAAAGCAATATACCATGCAATTATGCTCAGAGGCAATTGACTCAATAGTGAAGTGATGGGTCTTGACCACTAAATACTAACACATTTACACACACAGTATTTCCTAGGAATTAATCGTCAGTTTGTAGAAGTTGAAGGCTTTGATTAATTTAATTAATTTCATCTAGTCATTAAATCCCAGGGGAAAAAATCTACACCAGAGGGTTATGACTTGATTTTTTTTTAACACGTGGATTTTTAATGGATGAGAAAATTTAAATACAAAAGAATACTTAGCTATGTTAGTAATGTATTAATTATCAAATATAATATACATCTCAGCTATTATTAATAACCAGACACACATTTTATTCAGTGCTTTGTGTATTTAGTGAATATCCTATGAGTCTTGTATCATTGTTTTCTACACAAAGATTGCACTTGGCAACCAGGACACATTAAAAATCACTTAATTTAGAGACAGTAGTCTTTTTTTAATGTAGTTTTTATTCTATAGGGTATAATCACAAAGCCACATAAACATTACCATTTTCAATTCAAAACCCTGAAGATGCATTGGAGAGATTCCAGAGACTGGACGGTCACCCTGAACGGTTTTCACTTCCTTTGTTGGATAAAGCCAGTGTGATTGCTGTATAATGAAAGCAGTTCTCTAAGATTTAAACCTATATTCCATCACAAGACTTTCCCAATTAAGTAATCTCCATACTTCAGTGCACAGGGCTTGAGTATGCCCACTCACCTGTTCATACTCTACAGGTATAATGGGACTTGAAATTTCAAGCTCCAGTATCTAGTACAGTGACTTCAGCAATTCTTCCTTTAAGCCATCAAACTATTGAGGAAGGTAATGCGTTCACCCTGAAGGCTATTTTCAGGTTCCTAAATGTACACTGAYTTCAGCATTTTGTCAGGGACTACAATGTGTCCTTTTCTATAATATACTCATTTCTACCTGTATTTGCTTTAAAATCTTTTCTTATTAGGTAAACTATTTAGATTCTGCTTTATCTTTAGTCCTCTTTCACTGCCCCTACAAAAATAATTAGTCTGATGTGTCATTAATCTCTCTAATAAAGTAATATCAAACCACAAACTACTCATTTTTTTCCAATATATTTCGTGTTTATTGCCATAGCTAATAAATTCTTACGAGTAAAAAACTGGTCTTTTATTATTTTATAATTCTAATCCTAAGCCAGTTTCATTTTTATTAGAGGGGCTTATTAGAGCAGCATTATAATAATTGTATTCATATAACATTTTTTCAGGTTTCCAGCTACAAATATATAAGCATTAAAATTCTTTCCCTGTATCTCTGTAAGCTATTTGAGTCCAACTTTTACCTTTAATATGCACTGTCATGGGCTCTCAACAAATGGTAAGATTAAATTTAGGTTGATGGTTTCATGGGGAATATGAGAACCGTGGTCCTTTTAGTGGTCTGTTTTGAGGATGTAATAGGTTGTATAGTTTTAGCATTATCTTATTGTTGAGGGCTTATCATTAGAGACAATGTTGATGGTAACATTTGCTAATTTAATTAATTGCTGCTGATGTTCTCATAATTTCATTTTCATTGTACTTCTGTGGAATCATAAACAAAAGGTTAAGTGGCACATCAGGTTAATTTACTGGCCTTTGATGTTTCCATCTGTGATCCTACATTCAATACAAAGAATTTTTTTAAAAAATGGCTCTGATACAGTTATGGTCCAAAGGCATTGCTTCCTCCTAGAGTGAACTGTATTTTTTTGTTTATTTTTTGCACTTCTCAATCCACTCAAACCATAGAACATTACTCTGACATGAGTTTTTTATTTTATGAAAACAAACTGGTTCAGCTTGGGGAGTGAGGAAAAACTGCCATTCTAAAAAGTGATCAGACAAGAGTATAATTGAAAATCAAAGATAAAGTATTTATTTAAAATAAAAAAGAGATTTTTACAAGATTTCCTATTCATAAGTGGTGCAGACCAGACTTGATAAAATAGTTCTAGAGATAAAATTCCTTAACAATGATATTGAAATAGAACCATTTTCTAAAATAGTCCACACCAAACTAAAAAAATATGTTGTTTACCACTATATTATTTATTTTTCTGAATTACCTGTTGCACACCTTTTGCAGAAATACAGCTTAATATTGGCATCGGAAAGCATTATACCTTGTAGTTGGACTATTTTGCCTTCCTTGTTTTTCTGATCCTCATAGAATGTGTAAGCTAGAGTGATACAAAGGAGCAGCTTATACCCCAAACAATGAAATAATTTTAAAAACAAAATGCACACAGAGTATCTGAAGAAAATGTTTTGCTTAGAATCCTGCAATAAACAATCTCCATAGTCTAGACATCAACATTTAAACTAATTTTTATGTATTATTCTGACTTGTGTATGCAGTTGCAACATCCAGATGTCTTAAAATATGACCATTTTTATACACTTATGGACAAAACTGGAAACTTACTCCATTTTAATTGATACCTCTAAGGGAAAAAAAAAAAAAATCTCTTCAGCCTGATAGTATTTCCCAGACCTAACCTTTTGGTCAGAAGACAGCCAATTTGTAAATAAAGGGGTGCCTCATGGCTGCCTGTGGAGGGGCTGTTCAAAACCATTTTGTCAGAGTGACACACTAGCTCTATTTTGGTAATGGTGAGTCATGCCCTTTACAGCCATTTACCTATAACTATCCCACAGCTCCGTGAATAATTTTTAYTTATCCTAACATTATTTTCCTGCATAATAACTATAATAAACAACCCTGCCAGTGCCTCCTGGTGGTCATTTCCCCTCTTTTTTGTTCTGTGTGCCCTAGGGTACCCTAAACTATTTGTAGAAAAAGATAGGGTCAGCATTTTTATTTCTTTAATTTTCTTTTCTCCTATACATCTTCGGACATTTGTCTTTCACTTTTGAAAGAATTCTGACACTGAATTACGTCATTTTTCCATTGCAATGGTTGAAGCTAAGGTGGTCTGAATTCCCAGAGGGCCAGTGACCTGAAACCCTGTAACCCTTGTTAAGTCAAAGTTGCTGCGTGAGATGAAGCCTCTTGAGGGCGATGGCGGGGTCTCCGGCCATTCCCAGTGCCACTCAATAAGCAGGCAAAGCCCAGGAACTTATTTCCGACTGCAGGCTGCAAGCTGAAAGGCCTCGCCCCAGCGGCTGCTGATTTGCCGTGTACAAAAGGTCAGATTACACTTTTAGGTAGTAGAAATGTTCTTTTCCTCCTCTGACTAAGAGATCAAACATGCTTCAGTGTTGCAATGGTCGCGAATTTCTCTGGCAAACGGTATAGTGGCCCTATCCTAACACTGCAAACCCCTGACCCCTATGTCAGAGGCTAACAGCTCAGGACAGCAGGTCCTAGTGACTGAGACTAATGTGAGGCTATTTTAGTCAAGGCCACGGYTGCTTCCCTAGGTGAGCCAGAAGGCTGAGTTTGGAAAGGCTCTCTCACAGGTAGCTGGGGTCTCCCTGAAGGTGAGACCCATTGTCACACAGCGGCGATGAAACTGGTCGCCTTCCAGGCCACCTTCCTGTGCGAGTTCTTACTCCAGTCAGTAGAGTTTGGGTCCCGTGTTTGGGTGCGTGATTTTACTGTGTAAATCCCGAGTCTCAACTTTTGCTTCTCTTAGCATTCCTTGCCTCTTCAGCTGACAACTGGTTTCTTCAGCCAAGAACTAAACTCGAGTGTGAAATTTATTATTTGTGAGTTTCTCTGCCTGGGACGCTGCAAGGGCCCTGTGACTCCGGGTCTTAACTGTCCCGCTTCTGCCCTGGATGCGCCCCGCTTGGACTCACTCCTTCGGGTCCCTTTTTTCTCCTAGGACCCCTTATCTATCTCCCCGGAGTTTGTCACCTCGACACGCCCATTCTGGGCTCTCACAATCCTACCCATTCCCGGGAAAGCTAGCGACCCTAAACTGCTGAAAATCCCAAGCTCAAAAGGTTATTTCCTGCTCCGGACCTCCCCKGGCACGCGGACCGTCGGAGGGAGTAGATGGTCCAGTGCTGGAGCTACCGGAGGGTAGTGCTTACAAGCGCGCTCACGGAGCGCCGGGGAGAGACTTTAGAACCACCCTCTCCAGGCCGCGGGGCGCCCTCCTCGGTGTCCSATCCCCGCCTCTCTGGCTTAGCACCACGTCTGCCTAGCAGTAGCTCCCGGGATCAGGGTTGCCGCGCCCTTCCTCTGCCGGCTCCCACCCCCATTTCCGGGGTCTCCTCCCTCTTGCCTTTACCTTTCATCCCCGCTCCCCGCCCTCCCCACTGCCAGTTAGCACTCACCTGGTTGTTTTTGCAGAGATCAGCCCACATGCTAGTGCCGTCCCCTCCGCGCATCAGGACGTGGTAGGTGAAGAAGTAGATGCCCGGGATGGAGCAGGTGAATTTGCCGGTAGTGGGATCGTAGTGGTTTCCGAGGTTGGTGACCACGTCGTCGAACTTGAGCACCTCATAGCCTTCATGCTGCCGTTTGAGGCCAGCATAGAAGGCAATCTTGGGCACCGTGCTGTAGGTGGCGGCGCTGATGGCCCCGGCTGCGTTCAGGCCGGGCGCCCCAGGCGGGCCCGGCAGGCCTTGGCGGCCCGGCTCGCCTTTCTCGCCCGGGGGCCCCACAGGGCCCGGCGGCCCGGGCTCTCCTGGGGGCCCACGCGGGCCTGCTTTTCCCGGTCTGCCGGCCTCGCCTTTGGGGCCCTGGATGAAGGTGGGCAGGGACTGCATGAGGCCACGGTCGGGCGTGGCGGCGGTGCTGGGCGCCTTGGTGCCCCCGTAGGGGTCGCAGACCATGCGGCAGGTGCCCAGCATCTCGTAGTGCGCCGACGTGCCGGCCGAGCTCACCAGCACCGGGATGAGGATGACCAGCAGCAGCACCATCACCACCCCCAGCGCCCCGGCGGCGATCAGGCGCCTCCTGCTGCCCACCAGCCGGCTCAGCGCGGGGCGATCCTCTTGTCTGCTTTTGGACAAAATTTTGAAGGTTGGGCGGGGACCTCCTTAGAGCCGAAAACAATCCCCTTCGAACCCCAACTCCCCTGGGCTGGCGGGCGCCGGCTGCTCCTCGCCGGCTCCTGCTCCCCCAGCTGAGGTTGCGGCTGGGGAGGGAGCTAGGGCGCCAAGTGACTTGAGCTGAAGTCCCGAGCAAAGGGTGGGGGCTGGGGGAGGGGTGCGCAGGGCGCCCTCTCGCCTCCTGCGAGCCCCTTCGCACCTGTGGCTGGCGCGGGCGCCGGGGAGGCCACCCGGAGGGCAGAACCAGCCGCTGCCTCTAGCGCTGGTCCTGGTCGCTCACACTTTTATGCCACCGCTGCCTGCGATCGACTTTTCCGTTTTTGCAGACTGCGCCAGTTCGCACCAACTTTCCGTCTGAAGTTGCCTTTTTCTGCCTCCTCCTTCTCTTCTTTCGCTCGGTCTCTTCGCCCGTCCCCTGCCTTTTCCCCCCTCCTCTGCAGCCACCACAACTCTAATAGAAGCGCACCTCAAAGTCCCGCGCTGGCCGCACGAGCTCTGACCAGGCGCCCCCCGGGTGCGCGGAGCAGCGGCGGCGGCTKGCACTGTTGGCTAGGCGAGCCTCGGGGCTGGAGTGGAGGAGCTAGCGAGCAGCGGCGAGCGCCTCACGGCCGAGAGCGGAGCGAGAGAGAGACTGAACGCTGAATTCTGCCTGGGTACCACCTGCCAGGAGAAGAGGAGGCTGACAAACGCGCGCYGGAGCAATTTATAGGCACCCAAGGCACAGAGGAAGGGGAGCCGCTTTGGCATCTCATTGCAGCATCTGCTCTGCTCATCCCACTCAGAGAGAGTTTGGCATTACTCTGACAATGTGGGATTTTTTTTTTTTCGGCCTGTCTTTTTTTTCCCTCTCTGCACATGGATGAACAGTGAGATCCTGAATACTCCCTTGCTGAACCCAGGCGATAGCAGTGCTCTCGCTGGACATACTTGGGGGAGGGAGACAGCTGTGCMACAGCTTTCAGGATTCAAGGGTCACACCTAAGTCCTCTATGTCCCCACTGCTGGCAGCCTCGGGTGGAGGGTGGAAATGAAGGTTGAAAGGAGGGTGGCCTGGTTGACAGTATTTCTGTACTGGCTCACCCGCAGTCAGCGCTTTCAGGTGTTTTTCAAAATACCACTTTTAACATAAGGAAGGCCCTGTAGAATTTTCCAGATGGTACATATGATTTTTTTAACCTTATGATTTTTCTCCCCTGCCTCCTAAATGAAATTAGATGTTAACCCTGTGAACAGTGAGATGGGCTAAAAAACCAAAAGACATTTCTCAATGATTTTAAATGGACATGTCCACTGCATAAAGAAGGGGCAGGGGTATTGGTTCTTTTTACAAGTGCTGCACAATGGGGAAAGTATACATATGTACTTGACTTACAGGCTTACAATTCTAGCAGCCTTTCAGAAGATATTGTCATTTGGACTTGAAGTCGCATTTGCTTAAAGGTGCTACATGCATGAGAAATAATCACTTGTCAAAATACCTTCAAAAGTCTTACAATAAAGCAAGCAGAGCCCACACAAGTTCTAGGCCAGGTCTTTTCCTAAGATATGGAAGAGTTCTATATGTCCCATAGCAGATTTCCTAAATGTACCTTGGGGGAGAGATAAATATGAAAAATATGACAAAAGTCCCCATTCATATTGGGAGAGCAGGAGAAGAAATAGCCTGGATTTCAAATATTAATAGAAAGCCCTTAGAGTAGATATTAGGTGAGTTACCCCACCAACAAATTCATAAGACATAACAAGAACAGCTTTAAATAAATAAGTAGAATTGATTCCTAAATCACACTTCTGCATTCAGGAGCAATGAATGTCAATCAAACATGGATGACATTTGCTTGTCAATATGGGATGATGGCCGGGAAGATGTTCACTTATTACATCAAGGCAGGAATCTGAAATGAGAAGCAGGAACAAATAAGGCCACAGCAAGCAAACAATAACATCCTGGGTGACCATAAGCAGCCTGTGATCTTGTTTGTAGGCTCCACAATGCAGACATCTCCTTGGGGCTTCCTCAATCCCCTTCACCCACCTAACCTCCCACCCCACCTCACCCCAACAGTTTACTCCTTTCTTGCCTTCAAAACAAAATAAGGTCAAATGAGAGACTCAAGAAAATAAAGATTCATTGATTCTGTTAAGAAGACGTCAGCAGCTCTTTAAGGTCTTTGTAGGAGAATCAACTCGAAGGAGTTGGGCTGTGCTGCTCAGCATGGCCCAGGTATCCACATTATCTGTCCATCCTACCTGGATGCTGACAAACCTGGTATCAGAAAATAGCCCTTCCCACTTCTCAAAACTTGAATTTTTATTTTAGGATGATGGTTTTGTAAATGTACATCCATAACTTGGACATAGTTTATATATATATGTATATACATGTATATAAAATAAAATTTTATTTTATATAATTTTATTATATAAATATTCTTTTTTCTATAAATTGCTTTTTTACATGAGCTGTCTTATTTTTATGTTTTTAAATAGTGAACACGTAATAAGTTCTCTACTGGCCACAATATGTACTTTCCTAACACACCTGCTGGGTTGTTCTCAAAGTCACTTTTAGGAGGAAAAACTGGTGAGATATGGTACCAGTGATGGAGGGTAATGTATTAATGAAATAAACTAATCTCTGGTGTCCCAGATTATCAAAATTCCTAGGATCCCCTTAGCCTAAGGAGAGTTTGATGAGGGATTAAAAAGGAGTTTTTAAAATATAGAGGTATATAAATAAATTCTCATCCCAAACTTCAAGAATGTTTATATGGAGGAACCCATCAAAGATGACATGAAATATGAGAGTTGGAACAGATTCTGAAAAGTTGGTCTGTATTTTACTCATGCAGAGGAGGAGGGGAGAGAGAGAGAGAGAGAGAGAGAGAGAGAGAGAGAGAGAGAGCGAGAGCGCTGTGACTAGAATCACTGCCATCCAATGGGCTGCCAGGGACACTTCTCTACACAATACTAGAACACACCATGGCAACCTGAGATTGATGGTAATAGTCCTAATAATTGAGGTTTTCCTCCTTCCACTTTCTCTGATGCCAAAGCAAAGATTTATTTTGCAAGTGAATGCCTTCACATCTCAAACTCTTCTGATATTTGGAAAGGTGCTCACTATTCCTTATTCATAACGAAGGTGTCCTCTCCCAGGCCATATAGCTAACCTTAGACTTTCTGTCAAATGACATATGAGGGTAGCATATGGGCATTTGACTTTTGAGTGAAGTCAATTTGAGTTATTGTCTCCTTCCTGTCTAGATATATTTCATGCATTTGAGAGGAAACCCTCTTTTTGATTCCCCCAAGATATTTAGGCATGATTTGGTAGTAGATGGAGGTCTGACTGGTTACTGCCACTTTATGTTGCATGGATTTCGCAGAAGCTTCTCTGGAAAGTTACTCATGCTTCAGGGCTTGATTGACAATTTGAATAAACCATCTGATATGGCATATTACTCATCTGCTATATGTATATAATAATAGAAAATGTGTCAATTAAACAATATTTGATTTTCTTAAGTCCTCAACAGAAAACCAAGTTTTCTTTCTTATTTGATATTAATCTTGGAATTTCATTTTCCCAGCACGTCCCAACCAGGCCCCACATTCCCACTCGTGCTTGCTGCATGAGGACCTTTGGAACCTTTTCGTTGATACAGCCCAATCCAGAAACCCATGACTGGGGTTTGGTGGCAATTCTTTAAGTCGTATCTTCTCCACTTCCTTCCTGTCACTTTCGAAGAGCAGAGCAGATCCTAAGCACATGACTCCCACACAGACGTGCAGGGCCATCCATTAATCTTTATTCAGCACCCACTGGCAGCCTAGCCCTTTCCTGGGCTCTTACTAGGCAAACAAATATTTAGTCATGAGAATGATTTCCAAAACCAGCAGCACTTAAACAGAAATAGCATTTCTTATATCAAGGAAAAATAAATAAATTAAGAATCCAAGGACTAGCCACAGAAGCAGGCATAAAAAATATTAAAAATTGGAATTGGATCAAACTATTTACCTTTAATTTCTGGGTCTCCAAATTGTATTTCATAACATATGCTCTTTCAACTGAAGAATTATAGATTTCCAGCCAGAAAGGGTCTGCTTGGAGTTTTGTAGGGAAGCAGTATATCCTTATGGCTTTGGAACCAGATGGGTATTAATTTCAGTCTTAGCTGTTTAATTTAGTAGTTGTGAAAGTAGCTTCCTCTGCATGAGCCTCAATTTCCTTTTTCATAAAATGGGAATGACACTAATAGCAAATCACAGGTTGTGAAGATTAAATGAGTTAATATGTGTAATTATCATGGTACCCAACTACTAATAAGAGCCCAATAGATGCCAACTTGCATCTTTGTATATTACAGGAATACTGAGTAGTGTGTGTGTGTCTATAAATTGGATGGCAGAATAAAAGGTTTGTAAAGGAAGCTAAAGCCAAAAGATCAGACTTAAGACAATGGACAATTGTATTATAGACTTAGATAAGTATTATAGACTCTGATGAAATGAGAAAGAACACAAAAGTTCTCCAGGAGAATTATTATGTGTACCCTTCAACAATGCAAGACAAAGCAGGACAAAACTCAAAACAAGAATCACTTTCCCCTTCTCCAAAGAAGAAAGGTTATTTGAATTCATTGCAGTTTGATAGACCAAGTTTTCAGATGCAGGGTCTAATAGGATGCATTTTGTCCTCTAGAAAGCCCCCTAAGTCAACAAGTTGTGATCATATTTTAAAGTTATTGAGGTAGTTATCTGGGAACTGTTCCTTGGGATGATGATTCTCAAATAAGCAAACATACCAAAGAGGGCTGCTTTGTACATCAGCCAGAAGAGTAATCACCCTGAAGGACACCTAAGTCATAACCACATCCAGTAAGGACTTTTTAGCACAAAACTCTCCATAAAACAGAGTGAGTTGGAAAGCTAGTTTGACAGATCTATTGTCAGAAAATTATTAAACAGCCCAATGGAGATAGTAGCTCGAACATTGCAGAAGACAATGTATAGCTTCCAATTGGTCTCAAATTCTGTTATGTCAATAGAAGGATAAAATCTCCAGGATGGATATATTCTCTACTTTCCATGGGTAGAATGCTTGGTCATTCTGACCCTACTGGTGTAGAATGAGATCCAAAAGGTCAGCAAGTTCTCTTGGACTATGGTCGTGAGAACTCAGTCATAAAAGGAAGATGCATGGATTCAAGAAACCAAAACCAGCTGCCTTCAAACTCTAGGGAATGCTCAAGCAGGAGATCTGTCACAGGGACACAAGGGTGTATCAGTGGACAGGTTGACTGGACAGGCAGTGGTGAGAATTGTGATGGTCGCATTGCACTGTTTTTGTTTTGTTTAATAAAACCTGAAGTAGCGTGCATTTGGAAGAAAAGGTTACAGGAAGCCTCCAACAAAGCCAGACCCTGCCAACAGCAGCTGATATTCTAGAATCTGGATCTAAAAGTGATTAGGATAGAGAAGGCATGAAAACCAAGTACAGGTGTATGCAGCCCCACTCCTAAGTGAGTGCATTTCCAGAGCCACAGGTCTTCCTGTAGGAACAGCTCACCCCGTGAACAAATACCTGCCCCTTCGGCGTCTGTAGGCAAATGGACACACAAACTTTTTCCTAATACACATAGGCAATCTCTCAGGGATACTTATTTCTTAACTTTGTAAAAATAAATATTTTTAAAAATCATATTCCTAAAACATAAATTGAAGAGGTATTTTAGATTTGTAATTAGCTATCAGGGGAAAGTGGGAGCAAAAGTTACCCATTGTTAAGTAGTTGTGTG